ATCACACAGACAGGCATCTGAGATCGGCTCGATTTGAGAAAGGGGAAAACATTTAACCAGATTAAAAAAAACACTGGGTGGATTTTTATCATTATAGGGTGGTTGTGTACACACACTGCCAACACACATTTCAGTTCAAACAACTTGTAAAAATGCATGTAGCATCCTATGACCCCTTTAAATGATTAAGCTTTTCATTTCTGTCCACAGTAAAACTAGCTTGTGCTCAGTGCCGTTTACAATAAAGAGTCATAGTGCTTTCATCTTTAAACTACAAGATACAGTAGGAGTAGGTGAACAATAATTTGGTTTCAGGTCCAGGACACTTGCATGCCATGTGCAAATACGGAGTAGCAATTAGCTTAAATGGCAAAAAAACTAATATCTGCACGTGCAATTACTTGAAAGGACCAAGATCCTTGAGGAGATTGAAGTAGATGGTTTTTCGAAAAGCGTAAAATTGGACCCCATCATTTCTTACGGTCCGCAAAAGGCACCTCTTGATGATATTGTAAATTAGTAACTAGTCAAAGATGCTGTAAGCGAGTACCACAGCTTTTTTCCCCCTAGCCAATCAGAAACACTCTTTGCCTGTCAATCATTTTGTGGACAGGACGGGATTTAGAATAAAGGTCTAATTTTGTTGGCTAAAATCACTTACAGCACCTTTAGTAGCGAAAGTTCAATGGTATTATGACAGAATTCAAGTAATTCTCTATTCAATGGCTCAAATATTTACGACAATTTACATTTTTTATGTGTCAACCCCTCTCGATATTAAAATATTGAATGAACGCTTGTGAAATAAAGCGCAATATGAGCTTGTGCAATGACTCGTCAAACACGTATGGCAAAACAAGTCAAACTTCAAACAGAAATGAAGGCAATTTCACTCAATGGGAAAAGTAAGACACGAAGCTACCATGTTTCTTGCACATACACATACACACACACAATTAAATATACTATGGACATCTGAAAATACTACTAGATCCAGGCGGAGAAGAGGCCAAACTCAAGTCTGAGGCCTGGTTTCACAGTCAGGGCTAAGACTAAGCCAGGTTTAGGCCATAGTTCAATTAGGACATGTAAGTATCTTTTATAAACGTTCCTTGGAAGAAGAAAAAAAAACACTACTGGTGTGCATCTTGAGACAAAACAATGTTTTAAAATATGTCAGTGCAAGTTTCTTTCAGTTAAAACAGCTCATGCATTTTAGTCTGGAGCCAGGCTTAAGCCTTGTCTGTGAAACCAGGGGTGTTTTCATGTCTTTAAAGATTTGAGCTTTAGGATCGGTGTGGTTTTTAGGTTTAAAAGAGACTGCAAGAGAGATTTGATTGAGCCTTGGCCACACTTTTAACCAGCTTATGTTATGACTGAGGATGATTCACTTCTATTGAATCTGTTTTCTGAAGTACATGTTTGTGAATGGATGCATGCATGTTTTGGATGGAGAAACAAAGCTGTTTGCTTCATAATGGTTTTGTTCTGGTGATCTCTTCATGCACACCGCTTTGTTTCTTGTCTTCAGAATATGCTTTGTCTGCGGTTCTTGCCTCGACCTGGATTTGGAGAAAATGACCCATTGTTAGACAGATCTGCAGGAGTGCAGGTGAGGTGAAAGCGTTTTCTTACAGGTGTACAGATGAGATTAATGTTCCTTGTGCATGACTAAACATGATCAAGTTGTGCTCTGCAAATAGAGATGAGGGATGTCAAAGCAATGGAATTGAATACCCGGCGGCTGGAATACTGAGCTCTTGTGTCCCGGATCCTTCTGTAGCTGGATCTCCCTCAGTGAAAACACAGATGAGGCTGGAGAGGATAGAAGACAAGTGGGTGATGATCAAAGCAAATGTATTTTCTTCTTTGTTGTTTCATCAAGGTGAAAGACAGATGATAAGGCTCGTGTTGAGGTGATGTTATGTAAGCAGACAATCTAGAAATACCATAAGTATTGGGATGAACTCACTGTCAGGTATGGAGTGGATGTTCTCGCCCAGAGTCAGGAAGTAAGAGTGTCTCAGAGACGAATCGGCGGAAATCCTGCGCTTGGTGTCATACTGAACAGAAACAAAACAAACAAAGAAAAATGGAGGGAAATGTATATTTTGTTATTAGACATTATATTTGAATATAAATATTATAATATAAACAATATTAATATTATACATAATGCTTCAATCTATAGTGACCATAATTAGGATTTTGCATATTAAGGTTTTATTTGTTTATATATATTTATATATTATTTTGTATATATTTTAAATATAAATATTATACATTTCTTATTGTTTTCTAAAAAAATTAACATTGATCTCATCAATATTTTTGGGGTTTCTCAGAAAAGAAAGCCTTCATTTTAAATGTAACAGTTTTATCAATTTTTAGAAGTACAGTAGATACTCTCTAACATTTATAAAAACATTTTAGTGATGTTCTCAAATTGCAAAATCTAAGAAAGAAATAATGAATTAATGCAGAAAGAAATAATGTAGTTTTCACTTTTAAAATTCTAATGTTATATGTTAGAGTTTAGGTTTGTCTATAGTGCCAGTTGAGAAAAACAGATCTATAGTTACCTTAACTATCTTTTATGATATAATATATATATATATATATAAACTTTGAATATTATAATATAAATTTCATAATGTTTTCTAGAAATATTAACATTGATGTCTGTTTTCTCAGAAGAGAAAGACTACATTTTAAATTTAATCAACTTTGAATAAAATTGTTTTATATTTTAGAAGTACAGTAGATACTCTCAAAGCTAACAGAAATGCACTAAAAGCCAGAGAACTTGAATTTTGATCTTTTTTTACACGTGTGCGCATGCGTAACGCTTCTTCCACTGTTTTGCGCACTAGAGCGCAAGTGCTGCCTGTGTTCTTTCCCGTCCTGTGTGCTCTTCACTAATGACTCGATTTGAGCACAGCTCCGCTGACTTGTTGATCCCTGAGCTATAAAATAGTTTTAAATAATGAAGCACCCATCACCCTGCTGTCATCTCACACAAAGTTATAAAATTGTCTCCGGCGAAGTTTGGCGGTGTTTCAAACGAGCAGAGCGTTCAGAGCGCATTGTGTGAGGCTGACGGCGCGATCAGTCAGCGGGGTTTGATGAGAAACAGGTGCACGGTTCGGACTCATTAAGGCCGCTGTCACCATTAACGAATCGCGCACTCCGCGGTCTTTCATCATAATGACAGGTCAGAGCGCACTCAAGCTGCGCGCGCCATCAGAACGCACAAAAGAGAAGGAGAGAAACGCATTCACGTTTCTGCACAAATACCGCATTCTACCGAAATACAAACGCACATAATCTTAGACCTCCCATTGACTATTCTGTTGTTGTTAAATTAAACGAATCATAACTATTAACCTCTATTTTTAGGCTTTTTACCATCTGATACCATCAGGGTACATGGTACATTTGTAGGTGCAGATTTTATTTAGGAAGCTATTTGGCACAGTTTTTAATCACATTTACCTAACTGTCATACTGGAGACATTATAGTATATTGACTTTTAAAGTTTGTAAATTAAGCTTATCATAATAGTTTGCTTGTTTTACCTGGTTTTAGCTGGCGTTCCAGTCTGACCAGCCAAAAAGTGGCCCAAAACCCCACTAAAACCAGAAAAAAGACCAGTCTGATGATGGGTATGTTTCCCAAAAGCAACTATGGTCGCACGTTTCGTCGTTACCATTTGAGTTCAATGGAACTAACGACCATAGTTAGCTAACGATGCTTTTTGGGAAACGCACCCCAGGATGGGAGACCAGCAAAGACCAGTAAACTCACTTAATGTGTGTGTGTGTGTGTGTGTGTGTGTCTTAAATAAAGACATATTTAGTTGTTCTGTGAATCATTTTTTCTCAAAAGAACATCTTGATGACTTAATAAGCTAATCATAATAGTTGGTTGGTTTTACCTGTTTTTTAATTAATTAATTAATTTCTGGTTTAAGCTCTAAAACTAGCAAAAAACAGCCTGACCAAGCTTAAACTGTTTTATTTCTTTCTTTCTTTCTTTCAGCAGGGTGCAAAAATATTTTCAAACTCTAAACTTAATATACATTGTTTGGCTTTTATTTATTTTTTTGAAGCACATAAAGACATTTAGTTGCTGTCAATCATTTTTCTTGAACAATTTTTCATGCAACTTTATATCATATTGCCTTTTAATCATAATAGTTTGCCGGTATTACAGTCTGACCAGGCTGGGAGACCAGCTGAAATCAGCAAACCCACTTTTTTTTTTTTTTCTGAAGACATCTGCATTTTTTTTGTCCCCAAATGTACACTGGAAAAAAAAAAAATTATGTAGCAACATTTTTTACTTAGAAATTGCTAGTAAATGTCAGAATTAATTACAAAGACATAGCAAGTAACACAATTAGTTAAATTTTGCAGTAGAAAAACTGAAATAGTATTTCCTTGTAAAATGTACTCCATTAATCATTTGTTTTATTTACAACTTCGTAAAATCATTTGTTACAGTGTATAGCTGGGTCAGTAACATGCATTACTGTATGCAATGTCTACTGCAGACTACAGCCAAAACGCTATGATCAGCATTGAGTCTCTGGAAGAGTCTTTAGCCTGTGGCAGCCCTCTTTGTTCAGTCATTCCCCCAACATAATCTTGAACAATATTCCTCTGAAAGGTCCTTACTCTTGCCTGTACCTGAGTGAAGCGTGGAGGTGTCTGCGTTTGTTTAACTGTGTTTTGATAATGCTATAATGCTCCGGGCCTGACACCCCTGCCTGTATCAAACTAATTGGACCTGGAGGAGAGCAGGCAGAGAGGGGAAGCTGACACCATAATTAGCTTCTGAGCTCACTCTGTCTCGGTAGCGAAACTCTTTAACAAGGGCCTTTTTTCACCCAGGGATTTGTGGGAGCTGAAGACTATTGCAGTTCCATGGCATTAAACAGCACCTCGCTGGCCTCTGCACTTGTGCTGTGTGCTTGTTAGAAATCTCACACATAAATAATATCTGATCACATGCTAGAGCTTGATCCATGTTTTTTTTTTCTTTTTAAATTATACGGATTTTAATTATAATTGATTGATTTGAATTGATTAGTACATATAGCTTTTAATTTATTAGTGGTTGATCTGATTGTTTAAATTATTTAAATTCTTAGTTTTGCCACAATGATTATAATTGGACTGTAGAATACTAGATTGTTTTTATGGGTTATTACTTTTGCGAATTATTCTGATATTTTATTAATAATAATGATAATAATAATTTTAATTGATTAGTAGTTGATATTTAAATTGATCTGATCTTTAATAATTATTTCTGAATTTTCACACAATAATTTATAATGATTAGACTATTAGAATACTAGGGGGTTGTGTTATCAAAACATAAATTCGAATATTAATTTGTGAACATAATGATTGCAAAACATAGATAACATATATGGATAAATATCATGACATTTTATATTATTATTATTAGTAGTAGTAGTAATTTTAATTGGTTAGTAGTTTATTTTTTAATTCTTATAATTTTTAATAATTATTTTATTTCTAGTGTTTGACACAATGCATAATGATTAGACAATTAAAATACCAGGGGGCTGTGTAAAAATTGAATTTGAACATTAATTTGTGACCATTCTGATTACAAAACAATTTGCATAAATATCATGGTCGTAAATATTATTAATAATATTGTTATTGTTAATAATAGTAACAACAACAATATTAATACTTATTATAATAGTAAAAAAAAAAAAGCTACAGGTCTTTATTTCATGCTTGAGAATGAAGGCTTTTACATCAATGTATTTTGTAGTGACTTAAGTTAATGTGGCGTAATGGCTTTGTTGGAGACCCACCAAATAGATTTCTATTAACCAATAGAAAAGAATGTCAGTATTATTGGATTATCAGTCTCTTATTATGCAGATGTCAACAGAATTGTATGCATGGTTGCATGGACATTATTGTTATTATTTTTAGTGTTTTTAACAATAAATAGACACTTTATCAGATTGAACTATAGTAACTTACTCACATTTTATGACCAAAATAGGCAGTAATATTCTTGTTTCATCCATACTATGATACCAGAAATATTGTCTTCCTGCTATTCTGCCATATGCCATCCTTCGATGACCTCTTTCATCAGCAGGGCGTTTCTAAACACAGTACCACCACTGGCTAGCTGTGTGTGTGTTTTTGACATCTGACACAGACTGGCAAATCCTTATATTGCGTAAATCTATTGCCTCTCATCTTACTGGCTCCTCCTTAGCATTCCAACAAATGGAAAGTTGTCTACACAGAGCAATGCACCTCAGATAATATTTATGTTTTCAGTAAGAATGTATACATAAATACAGGGATCGATGCTTACTTTTCACATGTGCTCCTAATTTGAAACGTTTAGGAGGGCATAAAGACCTAAAAGTGCATGAAAGTGTATCATAGAATTGGTTTTCCCTTAAAAAAAGGGATATGAGGAGACATTTACATGCAAAATGATTTAATTTATTTGAATACTAAAAGTACACTAGGTTTTCTAATATTTATGCTTCAAACTGTTTACTTAGAAAAGTTCACCCACAAAATGTAAATTTGCTGAAAATTTGCTCATCCTCAGGCCATACAAGATGTAGATAAATTTGTTTCTTCATTGGAACAGATTTGGAGAAATTTAGCATTTCATCACTTGCTCACCAATGGATCCTCTGCCGTGGATGGGTGCCGTCAGAATGAGAGTCCAAACAGCTGATAAAAACATCAC